TCACAATGTTTTTGTTTTAATGTGCATTTAATTTTAATTTTTAATTTAAATGTATTTTGTTTGTTGGCCAAAGCCATTGAATAGTTGCCATATGTAAAGCTGCCTTGAGTTCCTTTCAGGGTAGAGAAAGGTGGGAAACAAATATTTAATATTACAGTATATAAAATATTACATATAATATATATAATTATATAATTATATATATATATATATATATATATATATATATATATATAAAAACTATAATATTATAAATATCTTCTTTCTAAACTATGCTCCCAATGGAGGGGTTAGCATTGTGACTGTCGTTTTCTCAGGTCTCAAGTTGGCAGCATGCATGTCTTTGTTGATGATGTCCATCCATCTTTTCTTTGGCTGTCCACATGGTCGTCGTCCTGCAATCTCCAAATGTAGTACTGCTTGTGCTACTGATGTTGGTTCCCTTCTCATGACACCGCTGTACCACTGTAATCTTTCTTCCTAGATTTTCTTGCTGATCACTTTTATTCCTAGCCCTTGATGGATGTCATCATTTGGCACATGGCGAAGAAGTGTCAAGCCAAGTGTCCATCTCAGCATTTTCATTTCCATTGTGTTAAGGACTTGTTCATGTTTCTTTGTTGATGGCCAGTGAGGTCTGAACTCACAACCTCTGAGGATGCCTGCCATAGATGCAGGTGAAACGTTAGGAGAGAATGCTTCTAGATCATGGCCATACAGCCCGAAAAACCTACAACAACCCATTTATCCCTGCCTATTTGGAGGTGTGATTTTCTCCATGTTAAAAATGCCTGCTTCTTTTTCTTGTCTGCAATGTGTACACTTGCACTCCACCACCAGATTTGTTTGTGATTTTACTGACATCCTGTCTTTGTCATTCTCACAGTTGTTTCAGCAGCTAGGCAGATTTGGTTTACAGAATCCTTCCGCATTTTATCTGCTGACTGCTGACTCCACCAGTGTTCAGATTTGGGCATATTGAGTATTATTGTCAAGTTTGGTCCAGATCCATCACTGTTTGAGTCCAAGGTGCTCTCTGGATGTAGGTGAACTACAACTCCCAAACTCAAGATCAGTGCCCAGCAAATTCTTCTACTGTTTTGTGTTGGTCTTGGAAGTCCTGTGGTTCAATTCCATTGATAGTGGCGTTCAGAATGCTCTTTGATTCTGGGTGAACAATAAATCCCAGCAACTACAACTCCCAAATGACAAAATCAATTTATTTTTTTTAGTGATGGTCATTCGTTGGGTTGTTAGCCAAAATTTGGTGTCAATTTGGTGTCAATCAAAATTTGGTGTCAATTTGTCCAGTGGTTTTTGAGTTATGTTAATCCCACAAACGAACATTACATTTATATATATATATATATATATATAACAACCTCAGATATGCAGATGACACCACTCTGATGGCCGAAAGCGAGGAGGAGCTGAGGAGCCTTCTAATCAAGGTGAAAGAAGAAAGTGCAAAAGCTGGGTTGCAGCTAAACGTCAAAAAAACCAAGATTATGGCAACAAGAATGATTGACAACTGGGAAATAGAGGGAGAAAACGTGGAGGCTGTGACAGACTTTGTATTTCTAGGCGCAAAGATTACTGCAGATGCAGACTGTGGCCAGGAAATCAGAAGACGCTTCCTTCTTGGGAGGAGAGCAATGTCCAGTCTCGATAAAATAGTAAAGAGTAGAGACATCAGACTGGCAACAAAGATCCGCATAGTCAAAGCCATGGTATTCCCTGTAGTAACCTACGGATGTGAGAGCTGGACCTTAGGGAAGGCTGAGCGAAGGAAGATCGATGGTTTTGAGCTGTGGTGTTGGAGGAAAGTTCTGAGAGTGCCTTGGACTGCGAGAAGATCCAACCAGTCCATCCTCCAGGAAATAAAGCCCGGCTGCTCATTGGAGGGAAGGATAGTAGAGACAAAGTTGAAGTACTTTGGCCACATCATGAGGAGACAGCAAAGCCTAGAGAAGACAATTATGCTGGGGAAAGTGGAAGGCAAAAGGAAGAGGGGCTGACCAAGGGCAAGATGGATGGATGGCATCCTTGAAGTGACTGGACTGACCTTGAAGGAGCTGGGGGTGGTGACGGCCGACAGGGAGCTCTGGCGTGGGCTGGTCCATGAGGTCACGAAGAGTCGGAGACGACTGAACGAATGGACAACAATAAACCTTTCAAGCCTCTAAAGACTCTTCCAGAGGAAAATCCTTAGGGCCTCTCTATCCAGGCACCCTGGCTTCCCGCTGGTAACAAAGTGCACGTCCTGTTCAAAAGACAATTATTACAGGCCCAGTGCGTGGCAGCACATTTAGTATTGTAATTATATTATATTTCATAGTATAATTGTATTATCAACATATTATATGATTATATTTTTTATAATTTATATGATTCTATCATTTTGAAGTCCTCTTTCCACCTTGCTCAGGGTGGGAGGCCTAGCCTTCTCGGCCCCTTCTCCTCCCATGGCTCCTTCATCTCCTCTTCCTTCTCCAGCCTCAGCTCAACTCAGCACAAGCTCCAAGGGGGTTTCTCTTGGCGTTGCTAAGGAGCCTTAGCAACCGCGCCCCGCCCACTGAGTCCTTTGCTTTGAAACTTCCGGTCCGCCCCACGAGCCGCGGCACTTGCGTTCCGGCCTAGCACCAAACAGGAGGAGCATCGATTCCATATTGTGAAGAGAGACGCACGTTTCCTTTTGCTGGTGAAAACAAAGGAGGAGGATCCAAATTGGGACATTTTCCACTTTTCAAGGAGAAGAAGCTGTGATTGACCCCAGACTGCGAGAATAGGTTGATTTTGTTTTCCCTGTGAGTATAAACACCTGTATTGCAAGCCTGGGCCAGCTTGGGCCCTCCAGGTGTTTTGGACTCCAACTCCCACCATTCCTAACAGCCTCAGGCCCTTTCCTTTTCCTCCTCAGCCGCTTAAGCGGCTGAGGGGGAAAAGGAAAGGGCCTGAGGCTGTGAGGAATGGTGGGAGTTGGAGTCCAAAACACCTGGAGGGCCCAAGCTGGCCCAGACCTGTTCTAGTTCCAATTTAATTGAATTGCCGAACAGAGCATAGGGTTACAGCCTGTGTTGGATGGGGCCGCACTCCCCCTGAAGACGCAGGTTCGCAGCTTGGGTGTGACCCTGTACTCATCGCTGAGCCTGGAACCCCAGGTTTCGGCGGTGACCAGGGGAGCATTTGCACAGCTAAAGCTTGTGCGCCAGCTGCGCCCGTACCTTGGGAAGTCTGACTTGGCCACGGTAGTCCACGCTCTGGTTACATCCCGATTAGACTACTGCAACGCTCTCTACGTGGGGTTGCCTTTGAAGACGGCTCGGAAGCTCCAACTAGTCCAACGTTCGGCAGCCATGATTTTAACAGGAGCTGAGCGCAGGGAGCATACAACCCCCTTGCTGAACCAGCTCCACTGGCTGCCGATATGCTACCGGGCTCAATTCAAAGTGCTGGCGTTGGCCTTTAAAGCCCTAAACGGTTCCGGCCCAAGCTACCTATCCGACCGCATCTCTGCCTATGAACCCACCAGGACTTTGAGATCTTCCGGGGAGGCCCTGCTCTCGATCCCGCCTGCTTCTCAAGCACGGCTGGCGGGGATGAGAGATAGGGCCTTCTCGGTGGTGGCTCCTCGGCTGTGGAACGCCCTTCCTACGGACATTAGACTAGCACCATCTCTAATGGTATTCCGCAAAAAAGTGAAGACCTGGCTGTTTGAGCAGGCGTTCGAATAATTAGTGCAATGATTGGTTAATGAACACTGGAATGGAACAATGGATGACGAATCTGGAACATGTTTTTGATGACGAGACGACAGTGAATGGGTATTGTAGTAACTGTTTATTAATTGTGTAATGTGTTAGGTTGTTAACTGTTTCTATACTGTAGCACTGAATTTTTGCTGTTCGTATTTGTTGTGAACCGCTGTGAGTCGCCTTCGGGCTGAGAACAGCGGTATATAAGTAAGGTAAATTATAAATAAATAAATATAAATAATTATTATTGTTTTTAATGCTGTTGTGCCTCTCCCCCCACCCTTTGGGCATTCAACAGATCAAGGTCTTATTATTGAAACCATAAAATGTCATTAACGCCGCCTGTGACTTTGAAAGAAGACGATGAGAAGACTCAGGGAATCAAGAGACGTTCCGAATGCCTGACGACAAACCAAGAAGCCACAAAGGGAGAAACCCCAATGGATAACTTGTGCCTGGCGTCTCAAGCCATCCTCGAAAGAGCCCAAAAGCAAGGAAGATCCAAATGCCCAAGATGCCATAGTTCAAGGATGTTCTATTGCTACACGTGCTACGTTCTTGTTGAAACAGTCCCAACCAGGGACATTCCTGTTGTGAAGGTTAGTGATTGATATATCTTATTATTATTAACACTTTTCACTCATAGCAAATAAATCTAAGGGCCTTTTCACACAGCCATATAACTCAGGGCCCTTCCACACAGCCATATATCCCGGAATATCAAGGCAGAAAATCCCACAGTATCTGTGTTGAACTGGAATATATGGCAGTGTGGACTCAGATAGCTCAGGGCCCTTCCGCACAGCCCTGTATCCCAGAATGTTAAGGCAGAAAATCCCACAATAATCTGCTTTGAACTGGGTTATCTGAGTCCACACTCAGATAATGCGGGATTTTCTGCCTTAATATTCTGAAGATCCTTCCACACAGCCCTATATCCCAGAATATCAAGGCAGAAAATCCCACATTATCTGTATGTGGACTCAGATAACTCAGTTCAAATTAGACAATGTGGGATTTTCTGCCTTGATATTCTGGGATATAGGGCTGTGTGGAAGGACCTCAGAATATCAAGGCAGAAAATCCTACAATATCTGTTTTGAACTGGGCTCTCTTGAGTCCACACTGCCATATATTCCAGTTCAAAGCAGATATTGGTGGGATTTTATTCAGCTGTGTGGAAAGGGTCTCAGATAACCCAGTACAGAGAAGATACTGTGGGATTTTGTGCCTTGATATTCTGGGTTATATGGCTGTGTGGTAGGGCCCTGGGTTATGAGTCCACACTGCCATATATTCCTGTTCAAGGCAGATAATGTGGGATTTTATTCAGCTGTGTGGAAGGGATCTAATACATTTACCTATGAAAAAGGAGCCAAGGTTTAATTCAAGCCCCTTCCTCACAGCGGAATAAAATCCCACAAATGTCTGCTTTGAACTGGAATATATGGCAGTCTGGACTCAGATAACACAGTTCAAAGCAGATATTGTGGGATTTTCTGCCTTGATATTCTGAGTTCTATGGCTGTGTGGAAAGATTTGCTTTGTTTATTTATTTCATGTAAAAAGCATTGCACAAATAAGTATAAAACTGATAAAAATAGAAGGAGCACAAGTGGCTAAGTAATTTTTGATCAAAACTGGGCAACAGCAACTGCATTGTCTGTAGCTTTAAACAATTCTTCCTCTGTACATGAGGCAGGGCRTTGCGGACAAGCATACAGGTGCAGAGTTGTTTGTTCTGCTCCACCGTTGTACAAGATGGAGGATTCTTCTAGAAAGTGCCATTTTGCTAGATTRTCTTTTGATCTGCCCACTGCACTTCTGAGTCTGTTCAGGGTCTTCCAAGTTGCCCATTCTTGGTTTGCCYTTAGAGGAAGATCCTCATGGGGGTGCATCCAATTGGGATTTCCTGGTTTAGGTTCCCAGATTTACTGAACAGAGGGAGTCATGTTTCATATTACACTATGGCCCCTTCTGTTGTGACACAGCTGGAATCAGAGAGTGTTTCTGACGAGGATGATGGGACTCGGGTTCACAGTTTGGTCCAAAATGTCCCTGCTAAAGACAGYGAAGAAGAAGTGCAGTTTTCCACAGCAAGACATGARAGTKCAGATTGACTCTGAGAAGAAAGACATCTCTTTGCCTTGTTCTCAGCCTGATAATGAAAAACAGGCTGACGCTAACAAACAGATTGACCTTGACAATATGGGAACTTTAGATTGGGCTGATCGGTTGGAATTCTGTGTTCGAAGGAGTGAGAGGATAGCAAACAAGAGAGAGGCCAGACAAACGCCTTCATGTTTTGCAAAGGGTATTAAACAGGGTGTTTGAGATCAGATCTTTGATAAAGCAGCTTCGTGTTTACCTAAGGAGCTTGCCTAGGCTAGGCTGGATTATCTTGCAGTCTTTGTATTTGTTTGCAGGACTTTGTCATGTTTTCTTGGGTCTTGCTTTGCTGATGCCTATTGGATTATGCTTCAAGTGCTATGTTATCCTGATCTTTTGGAACATTAACCTTTCCTTTTACCTTTTATTTTTAATAAACCATAAAGATTTCTGGCTGTGTGCAGTTTGGTGTTTTTCAGCAAGGTGAATCTATTCTGAGGTGCAACACCTTCCTCACAGCTGTATAAAATCCATATTGCACTGGATTGTATGGTAGATAATCCAGTCCAAAGCAGTTATTGTGGATTATCTGCCTTGATATTCTGGGTTGTATGTCTGTGTGGAGGGGACCTATGTAACATGGTTTTTGTTCCTGGATTATAAATGTTATTTCCTAATTGGTTCTAACATAAAACATGGGAAAAGTTGATTAAACTGCAGAAACATCCTGCTATAGCACACTTTGCTCTACTTTTTCAATTACTATCTCATACTTGCTACTGAAGAGAAATTGTCAAGGAAGCTATTCCTATGATCGGACTGAAGAGTGCTATATTCTGTGTTCTTGGTTTCAGCTTCCTTTGAAAATTGACATCATTAAGCATCCGAATGAAACAGATGGCAAAAGTACAGCGGTGCATGCCAAGCTCCTGGCACCTGAAGATGTCACCATTTACACATATCCTTGCATCCCAGACTATGAAGAAATGAGGCATGAAGTAAGAAGAATGGTCAAATGTTCAAACATTGCATATATATTTCTATGGCTTTATGAAAACAGAAATCAGTATTATTACTCTTATACAGAGGGGTTGAAGTGCAACAATTGAATTTGGACTCCTGCCTTAAAGCTCATATTCTTGCTGAAAGATGTCAACCATCCTGAACATCTCTTTTCAAGAGCATGTGGGGTATAATCACATTAATAATGAATAATGTTTGTAATTATTGTACTTCCAATTGTCTGGTGTAGCAGTGTACTTTAAAATGGCAACCCAGCTTAAGAGATTCTATCTTTGTTTCCTTTTAGATTGCTCTGATCTTTCCTGGTCCTAATTCCATTTTAGTAAATGACATTCCTCTGTCTTTGCAAAGCAAATGTGAGAAGAATGTCAGTAGTGATAAGGATGGAGATTCAGCAATGGCACCAGCCCTCAAGAGTGCCAGATTAGAGTCAGGCGAGGACAGCAGCACGAGTGAACAACAGGTGCACAGCGGGAGTAAAAATACGACTTTGAAGAAAATTATATTTATTGACAGTACCTGGAATCAGACAAACAAAATTGTCACAGATGAGCGACTTCAAGGTATGTTAAAGTTTACACTGTAACAGGTCTGTTAGGCAATATAAATCTGTATGTGTTGATTACATATTC